GGTCCCAATTCAATTGGGTAGTTCTCCACTGCATTGCAGTCCAAGGAGCTGGAGGCCTTGAACTTCCCTGAACACCCAGGGGCACCAAGTTTCAGCCATACACAGGGCCTAGGAAGAAACACCCCCCACCCCTCCAGTCATCTGTAGCTGCCTGTTTCTCTGGGGTGAGGACAGCCAGGGACCCAGGCCATTCCAGGCTGGGGTTTGCCCTCTCCTCCTATTGCTTCTCTGGCATTCTGGGAAACTACATGCTCCACCTCCAGCACAGGTGTCCAGACAGTGGTAGACTTTGTTACAGTGCAGCTGACCCTTGAACAATGGAAGTTTGTGCTTGGAGGGTCCTGTATTTGGATATATTCTCTCTCTCTCTCTCTCTCTCTCTCTCTCTCTCTCATTATTTTTTTCTAATTTTTCAAGAGTTAACACAATTTGAAAAAACTCATAGAGATAAACGTTATAGCCTAGAAATACCAAGAAGAAGAAAAATGTAGGCATAAAATAAAGGCACAAAGTATATATAGACAAGTGCCTATTATATCATTTACTAACATAACCATACACAAATCTATTTCTAAAAAAATTAAAAATTGTCAAAACTCACACAAATACACGTCAAGTATGGAACCATTTGCAATTCAAAGAAATGTAAACAGAAATGCAGAGGTAAATCTTAACTACATGAAAGGGACTGTCTTGTCTACTGCACTGCAGTTAACAATTTCACAGCAACCTTGTTGCTTTTGGATGCAGATATTCAAGGTCTCTACTGAGCAGTTTGTCTCTGGTAAATTTCCTATACCAGTAAAAAGCCATCTCCAGTATGCTTCTTGTATGCTTTCATCATATATAATATATACAATATATAATATGGGTTAATTGGCTGCAATGTTATCTCGTAAGTTTTCCATCAGAAGCAGATTATTATTAGTTCAGTTTGAGGAAGTCAAAAGTTACATGTGGATTTTTGACTATGAGATGGGTCAGGCCCCTACCAATTCCCTTGTTCAAAGGTCAGTGTTTTCCATTGCCCCCTCACTCCCAGCCCACCTCCCCTCCTCTCTACCCTATGACTTGGGGCAGGGCCAAAGCTTGCTCCCAACCCCTGAAGCCTCTGCAGTCCTACAGGGACTTGGAATGAACTGAAGGGTTTGCACATAGATGGCAGGGAGGAAGAGGACCTAGGATGGGTATAGGGCTGATTTTTTTTCAATATTTTTAGTTGCACAATATCTTTATTTTATTTTTGTTTGTGGTGCTGAGAATTGAACCCAGTGCTTCAAATGTGCTAGGCAAGTGCTCTATCACTGAGCCACAACCCCAACCCCTGGGACTGACTTGGGAGTTAAACTTGGAAGTTCAACTACTTAATGAACCAATGATATTTGCAGTGGGAACAGTGTGTACTGTTCACCAGATTCACCCCAGTGCCAGGATGTGCCAGAGACTCTCTTAAAAGTAGCTAAGATTCTACAGTAGCCCTGGGACAGGTCCCAGGTCAGCAAAGTGGCCTCCCTCTACCACGAGGCCTGCGCAGTGGTTTCATTAATGAGGTTCTAGGCATAAAATTAGTTAGAAGAGATCGAAATAAAAACACAGAATCAATTACCTTATTTCTATTGCTAGGTCCAAGACGGCTCCCCTCTGGTTCCCTCCTCCAACCGCCCAGCAGGGCAGCAGGGATTACTCAGGGCTAGCAGGAGAGAGAGAGCAAGCACGCTGGGGATCAGCCTTTTATTGGGGAACAAGAGATTCAGGGGAGAATTCCATCCATCGAAGGTTGGGGGGGCTGCACTCCAAGGTCAGGGTCAGTGATTGGGTCCCCGGGGTCAGTGGTCAGGCACACCCCCACACAGATGGGCTCTCTCATCAGGAAAGGGCCGGGAAAAACTTCGACTTTTGCCAAAGTGCCTCAGACCCTTAACAGGAGCCACCCAATCACGTGTTAGAATGGCTTCCCACACTCCCAACTGCAGGTACAGACATACCCCACACACCCCTTTTAAGACAAATCCTTGCTTTACTTGGGGAAGACTGACAAGGAGAGAGCCAATGGCCACTAGAAGCAGAAGACAAGCTGGGCTGGTGACACACATCTATAACGGAAGCTACTCCAAAGGCTGAGGCAAGAAGATTGCAAGTGCAAGGCCAGCCTGGGCAATTTAACATAAAAAGAGCAAAAACATAAAAAGTGCTGAGGATACGGCTGAGTGGTATGGCACTTGCCTAGCACATGTGAGTCCCTGGGTTTAATCCGTAGTACTGAAAGAAGGAGGAGAAGAAGACTGATTGGGGTATGACCACTGTAGCTCTAGTGTCACTTGTTTCTCCTAGGTAGGGTTGATCTCCCTAACCCAATGCTGCCTGAAGCAAAGCACTAGCTCTACCTCCCTCCACACACAGGTTGTCTGCAGGCTTGAGCTGGGAGCTGAAGATCCAGCTGAGCTGAAACCCAATGGTCTCATGTGTTGCTATGGTTCAGAACACCCAGTGCCCAACCTCTGTCCTGAGCAGATTAAAATCCAAATTAGCAAAAGCCTTAGGTCGCATGCATATGCCCAAAGTGAGGGCTGATTCCTTAACTGACTTTCTGAAATTGAGCTGCTAGTTAGGCAGCATGGCCCAGCTCCCCACCCTCTGTATGGACACTGTGTGTGCCATGTTGGACTTCTGTGTGTCCTACACTAGTGTTGGTCTCATGGCTCCAGGCAGATGGCCACATCAGATCTTTGGCCCACCCTGGGGTCTGTGGTAGTGCTTCATGGCTGCTGCCATGTTTTCAGGTTGCAAAGTCCTTGTCCCATTCTATAATGCCTGTCTCATGTTTCCAGCTTTCTGGACTCTATCCAGTCTGCCACTGGCCAGCCTTTGTTGGAAGCCAATCAGTAATGGGCAGTAGTCAAAGTATAAGTGATGCTCAGTCCCCTGGTGCCTCGCATCACCTCCCCTTGAGGCAGCCCCTCAATGTCAGATCAGCAAATTTATACCTCTCAGCCCAGTCCATCATCCTGGCCAGCCCTTCTCTAGTTAAAGATCAGAATGATAAAGGATCTCAACCTCCCCACCAAAAGCCTAGATTCTGCCCTGACCACCCCTGGTCTTGGGGCCAGCCTCCTGGCATACCCTCCTAGTAAGAATCCAGCCATGAATGACCTGAAGTGTTCAAATTTATTTCTGGCTCAATCGCTAGACTCCTCTGTCAATCATGAAGCTGCAGCATGAAGACAAGGACCACTTGCCTGGGAACACTTTTGGTTAACCCCACAGCATCCTAAGGGTAGAAACCCCCTGTCCCACTTACACACACCCCACAGCTAGGCTGGAGATCTGATGGGGTGAGGGTGATAGGAGAAAGGGCACCTGGCCTGGAACAGGTGCCCTTATGGCTATGGAGAGGACACCAACTCCAATGCAGGGGATGAGACCACCATGGACCCCAAGAAGTGCAGGGTGGGGATGATCAATGTTCTTCTTATCCTCTAGACACTGTGACCTGCACCTTGGTCATTCACCCAGCCCCACATCCTCTGAAATAGAAAACTCACCAATCTGCATCCTGCTGGTCTAGGCCACCAGCTCTAGCACACAAGGTCACCTTGTGTCAACCAATGGGGACAAAGTCATGTGCTTCTCCTGATACTGAGGGCCTTGGTGATGCCTTCACGGGTGACACTACCCAGACGGCTTAACCAAATCAGGTTTGTTTCATTAAAAAAAAAAATAGTTTTATGGACATAGAATTCATGTGCCATATTCTTTGCCCATTCAAGTGTACAGTTCAATAATTTTCAGTGTGGAGCTGTGCAGCTCTGACCATGATCAAGTTTACAATGTCCCCATCACCATAAAAGAGAATACTCCCATCTTTAGCAGTCACTCCCATGGCCTACTCCCACCAGCCCCTTGCAACAACTGATCACTTCCTGTATGCTTTGTTTGTTCTGGATGTTTCACATAAGCAGGATCATACATCAGGTCTTCCTGTCTGGCTTCTTTTACTGACATGCTTTCAAGATCCACCCACATTGTGGTGTGTATTAGTACGTCATTCCTTTTTATCCCCAGTATTCCAGGGTATATTTGTGGGGGCAGGGGATCCAACACAGGGTCTTGTGGATACTGGACAAGTATTCTATGATTCAACTGCACCCTTGCCCCCAGGGTATCTTCTGGTATATTTTAATGTGTCAATTGTACAAAACATTCATGAATTGGTGGGCATTTGGATTGTTCCACTTTTTGGCCATTATGAGTAGTGCAGCTGTGAATGTTCACTTATATACTCTCATGTGGCCATGTCTTCACTCCTCTTATGCTTGTACCTGGGGTTGGGTTTGCTATTTAACCTTTTTTTCTTTTTTGCGGGGGGGGGGGTAGTACCAGCCTTATTTTTTTGTGTGTTTTATTTAGAGACAAGGTCTCACTAAGTTGTTTAGCACCTCACCATTGCTGAGGCTGGTTTTGAACTTGTGATTCTCCTGTCTCAGCTTCTGCTGGGATACAGGCATGCGCCACCACGTGGGACTGCTGTTTAATACCATTAAATGCTTTCCAAAGTGGCTGTGCTTGGCACTGGGGGTGTGGCTCAGTGGTTGAGGCCTGCCTGGCTTCTGGAAGGCCTGGGCTCCATTCCCACCACTGCAAAAAGAGGAGCAAAGTGACTGCACCCTCCCACTCGCCAGTGGAGGGCTCTGTCTTCTGCCTGTCCTCCCTCTCCCGCATTGTCGTCTCTTGATTATGGCCAGCCCAATGGATGTGAAAGCACTGGGCTTGTCCCATACCTGAGACAAATGATGGTGAGCATCTTTCCGTGGGCTTTTCAGACACGTTTGTGTCTTTATGGGGGAAATATCTGTTCAGTACTTTGCCCGTTTTATTGGCTGTTCTTTCGTTACTGGGTTTGAGAGCTCATTACACATTCGAGACACAAGACTTTCACCCGGTATAAAACTTGTAAAATGTTTCTCTCATTCTGTGAAAGTCTTTCACTATCTTACCTTTTGAAACAAAAAAGGTTTTAGCTTTACTTAAATCCAATTTATATTTCCCTTTTACTGTTTGGGCTCTTGTCCCTAAATTCCCTTTCAAGGACGGCAGCCTGCCCTCGACAGCAGCCCTGGGTTGAGTCACTTCATTCTGGGTCTGTCACACGGCTCGACCTTAGTAAAAGGAGGTGGATGAGGGTTAACATGAAGATCTGAAGTTTCACCTCAGAAGATTCAGAGTTGTTTAACTTTTAAGTTCATTTCACGATAGTTGAGTAGGATTGTTTTCTTGGAGACACCTGCCTTGCTTTTCTGAAGTGGTGTGAAGGCGCTGTTCTCCGCCCTGGCACCTGCAGAGTCTACGCACCTGCAGAGTCTACGCACCTGCGGAGTCTACGCACCTGCGGAGTCTACGCACCTGCGGAGTCTACGCACCTGCAGAGTCTACGCACCTGCAGAGTCTACGCACCTGCAGAGTCTACGCCAGCGGAACGGCTCCGGCCTCAGTTCCCAGCGGCCCAGGACGGTGAGGCCCGAGAATCTCAGTCCAAAGCCCCAAGGCGCCACCCAGTGCGCGGCGCGACCCGGGGACCGAGGCCTCCGCGCGGGGACAGTGGGAGGGCTTCGGCGGCCCGGAGCCGGGTGAGCGCACCGCCTCCCGGCGCTCGGCCGCCCGCGGCTGCAGCCCGGACCCGCCCCGCGCGCCCGAGGCCCGGCAGGCGCCAGCACCTCAGGACGCGCGCGTCGGGCCGTCGCGGGGCGGGGCCTCGGCTCGCCGCGGGGCGGGGCCCCGGCCTGGCGCGGCCTCTTCCGCTTCCGGCTGGCCTCTCCGGGCCCAGCGGCCCGCGGGCGGAGCTGGGAGTTTGGACGCCATGGCCTCCCTCCGCGTCGTACTGCTGGGTGTCCGCCACCAGCTGCAGCTCCCTGCCCGCTGCCCCGCGCTGCGGCCCTTCGCCTCGGGTGAGTGCGGGCCGGGAGGGGGTCCGACGCCCTCGGCCCGCACCCTCCACTGGATCTTGGACTTCCCCGACTGACCCTGACCCGCACCCCCGACCTTCACTCCCGATCCCCGCCTGACTAGACCACCCCTGACCCCGGGCCTCTGTCCCAGACACACATCCCATCCCGGCTTGACCCAGGACTCCTGACCCGGCCCCAGCCCTGAGCCCCTCTCCTGACCCCTACCCACACCCCTCAATTTGATCTCGGACACCCTCATTCCCCTGACCTGGGGCTTCTTTACCCCTCTCTTGGACCCATCCCCACACACCTCCCAATTCTTGGCCCCCAGATTAACCCCAGCTACCTCACCCTAACTTTCCTGATCCCCGTGCCTGCAGGTCATGTCCAGACTCTGGGTGGGTCAATACTGTTTTCTCAACTCCTGTACCTAGACTGAAGACCAAGACCTGTGGCCTACTGGGCACCTGAATGTCGGTTGTGAAATCCCACATGTGTTTAGGTAGCTTTAAGAGCACATGGAGTCCTGTTGAACAAGTCAGCCTGGAAATTGAAAATGCAGGCTTCGCTTGTCTCAGTGCCCCCTGTCCAGGCACATTCAGTGCCCGTTCCTCCCTGAGCCTGCCCTTCAGCTCATCCACTCAGAAAGGCTTATGCTTACACTCATGTTCCTCCTACAGCCAGCTGTAGAAAGAACAGTCCTGTCCTTTACTCCCGCTCCTTCACCTTGACTGTGCTCTCCTGCATACACCACTGCTCTAGTATTGTAAGGAATTCTTGGCCATACCCCTTGCTGGGCTCCTCCCATACCCTGTGGGTCCAACTAACTATCCAGTGGTGGATAGTAGTTGGCTACACCCTCAGTTCTTGCCTGTTCACTTCAGCACCCCAGCCTGGGGTTGGCAGAAATTCCTGTGTTTCTTAATGGCAGACACATTGCTGCTCAACATTCATACCCAAGGACTAGGTGCAGCTCAGTAGTTAAGTACTTACCTAGATGCACAAGACCCTGGCTTCCATCCCCAGCACCACACACACACAAAAGGACACTTACTCCATGATATTTTAGTCATTCACTTGCATGTTCATGGGACAGGTTCTGTGTAAGAGGACTGACCACTCAACATATAGATGCCCCTTATCAGGCTGTCCTTCCTCTCAAGTCCCTGACTGCTCCCTCCAAGTCTGAGCTAGCTGCCTCTCTGTCCTTTGTCTCTGTCTTCCTCCTGCCAGCCTGTCTACCCTGTATGACCAGAGCCCTGTCCTGCTGTCCTCCGGTGGGCATTCGTTGTAAAAAGGCATTTTCCTCTCCTTGATGCCAGGGAAGACTGACCAGGCATATCAGAGGGGACTGCTGTGTTCCGTGCTGGGGATTTTCTTTAACTTAAGGATTCAAGCAGAGTGGTGGGAGCTGCAGGCTGAGTACTTCTGTGTCCCTAACTTTGACACCTGTGTGACAGAGATCTCCTTTTGCTCTCTTGCCCTAGGGGCTAACTTTGAGTACATCATCACAGAAAAAAAGGGGAAGAATAGCAACGTGGGGTTGATCCGATTGAACCGCCCCAAAGCACTCAACGCCCTTTGCAATGGCTTGATCAAGGAACTCAACCAGGCACTAGAGACCTTTGAGGAAGACCCCACCGTGGGCGCCATCGTGCTCACTGGTGGAGATAAGGCATTTGCAGGTGTGCTGGCAGCAGTGGTGGCAGATGGGAGGGGTGCTTATGGCCTGTGGAAAGTGGCAAGACAGACTGGCCTCTCGGTGTTGGCAGATGTCTTAGGATCTACCCAAATGAGCTGCTTAATGAATAGCACTCTTGGACGTTCAAGTGTGTTTCATCAGCAGAAGCAGCATATTCAGAGTGACTCAGGTCTTTACCAGCCAGATTAAGTGCTGATAAACAAGACTGCCTTCTCTTGAGTCCACCAGGCATCTGTTGCCTGCCCTGTGACCTTTCTGCATTATCTGGTCACAATAGGCATCTCAGTATTGGCTGCTCCTTGCTGTTCCCAGAGCCTGACATAGTCCATGGGATAACTACTTGTGGGTTTGGGGTTTATAGGACTGGTGGGATCTCTGCTGCCTCTTTTCCACTCCTAGCTGGAGCTGACATCAAGGAAATGCAGAGCCGGACATTCCAGGACTGTTACTCTAGCAAGTTCTTGAGCCACTGGGACCATCTAACTCGGGTCAAGAAGCCAGTCATTGCTGCTGTCAATGGTTATGCTGTGAGTGTGGACATCAAGGATCTGCTCCTGGGGTGGTTGATGGGTTCTGCTTGTGAGAGGGAGCATGCAGGATCCTTATCTTAGAAAGGCCTTGTGTGTGGCTTGCAGGCTAGCAATCCCTTTCTGCTGGTAATGCTGAATGAGGAATAGGAATCTTTTGCATCCACTTCGTTTTGTGAATGCTCAGCTACTGGTTCTTTCCAAATGGGTTAATGGACTTTTCTGTATTAATATAATGTTATCAGACCTATGCTGTACCTGCGAAGGCATCACATCCTCTATTGGATGTATCAGGGCCCCTGGCATGGATTGGGGAAGCCATACGGTCATTTCACATGGTGTTAATTTAATGAAGTCCCCTTCCATGTGTGCCACGTCCTCCACATCCACATCCTCTGTGGCTGCTTTTGAGCCACTATGGCAGAGCTCAGTGTCCTCAGAACTGAGAATACTTACTGTCCACACTTTGCAGAAGAGTTTGCCCTCCCAATGAGCAGAGCAAGCAGACTTTGGTTTTCGGCCTGGACTTCCCTGGAAAAACTGCTGAACACTATCTTGCAGCTTGGTGGGGGCTGTGAGCTTGCTATGATGTGTGATATCATCTACGCCGGCGAGAAAGCCCAGTTTGGACAGCCGGAAATCCTTCTGGGGACCATCCCAGGTGAGAACACAGTAGCTTTAGCAGGCATTCTGAAGGTAATTCTTCAAGGCTAGCCATGCTTTGGGGCCTACAGCTTGCATCTAACCAAAAGCCCCAGAAAGACAGCCCCAGGTCTGATTCGTGCTCTGTTTGTGGACCAGCACATGAAGAACAGAGTGAACATAACAGCTCAGAACACAGCTTGGTTCCTGTGGTTACAACCATATCCCACTTCTGGTGACATCAGATCACGTGACTCTGGCCCCCAGCCACAGTGGTTCTTTCCTGCTTATGATCCATACTTGAGGTGGATCCCTATAGGTCAGAAACCTTGGAGAGAAAACAGTGATCTCACACTGATGCCAGGAGGTCTGACCAGTGTGACCCCAGCCTGTCCATTCCCATGTCATTGGTTGAGGCAGGTCACGTGGCTTTACCAAATTCAGCACATGCAGGTGTCTAGATCTCCATCATCCCCTGCCTAGGAGGGAGCTGGGGTATTGGGCCAAGAGCAACTCTATCTATGTGCAGGGGTCCACTGGTAGACCTGGGGTGGGAGCAGACCTCAGGGGGATTAGGCATACTCCCAAGAGCCTTCCACTGCCCTTTGGGTTCAGCCAGGCAGTTTCTGAGGTTTTGTGCTACAAGGTTCATGAATTTTCAGGGTCTGTCTTGGATAGGGCAGCAATTGCTAAGGATCTAGCACATGGAGTGAGGGAAAGCTGGAAGTTCCTAGAATGTTGGTGAAAACCTGAGGAGAATCCACATATGCTGTGCAACACTATCCTAAAATTGGGGGCCTGAGCTTGGAAAGGGGCCTGCCCTGAGGTTCTGAGCCCTTTTTGTTCCACCTGCTGACCACTTGGTTCTGCCTGACCCCTGGCTAGAACTCATCTTAGGCCTTATCTTCAGCATAAACTGGTAAGCAGCACGTCTGTGGTTTCTTCTCTCTCTCTTTTTTTTTGACCTCATGTGTCATGTAGCCAGCTACAATACGCAGTCTCTATCCCTGCAGGTGCAGGGGGCACTCAGAGACTTACCCGTGCAGTCGGCAAGTCCCTGGCAATGGAGATGGTCCTCACTGGTGACCGCATCTCAGCTCAGGATGCCAAGCAAGCAGGTGATGCAGGTCTACCCTCGGGAGCTGGGTAGAGACTGGCCGAGGTGTCCTGGGGTAATTGGCACCAGAGCTTTTAGATCCTGAGAATCTGGGAGGTTGACTATTTTGGGGTTTAGATCTTGAAATATTCTATGTTCGAGAGAGTGATAACATACTCTCAGGTTGAGGAGGAATAGCACAGCATCCCATTTCCTATAGAACCAAGTAGGCTGTGGGAATCTAGACCCTTGCAGGCCAGCCCTTTCCCTGCCATTGGTGGCCACAGTTCACCTTCCTCCTCTCTCTGCTGTTTGATGCTGTAGGCAGCCTGACTGGGCATCTGTGGACTCAAGCAGTGGACTTGTGCCAGATCTGCACTTCACTTACCTCCTTTTTTGTTGTAGGTCTTGTGAGCAAGATTTTTCCTGTTGAGACACTGGTTGAAGAAGCCATCCAATGTGCAGAAAAAATTGCCAGCAATTCCAAAATTATAGCAGCCATGGCCAAGGAATCTGTGAATGCAGGTAGGTTCTGCAGGAAGAGAGTGGAGGGTCCCAGGCCGTAGCAACGCAGATGTAAGGCTCCACACAGCACAGATCCGCCTGTCCTGGGC